AGCCGGCCGCGGGCAGCATCATTCAACTTGATGGCTGACGGCTGACATGTTTGGGCAGGCATTTCCTTGAAATGCCGCATTTGACCATGCGGGACGTGGTCGTGAGCAAAAATGTAAGCGCGCCACCGTGCCTCAAAAATGTAACTTAATTTTTTGAGGTCTTTTCCCGGAAAATCACCCATGAGGCCTCAAAAATGTAAGTTACCTTTTTCAGGCCACCTCAAAGTTAATGTAATTACATTTTCTGAGGCCCTCCGCACAGGAAAATGTAACTTACAATTTTCGACGTCCCCCCTCAGGAAGGGGTGGGATGTTCTGACACTTGTTTCTTCCCTGTCCGCTTGACTCCACCCTACGCCCCTACGTGCTTCGAGTAGGTACTGAGTAGGTCTTCAATTCGCGCGTGGAGTTTTTCTGCGGAAGTGCAAGAAGGATAGACGTGATCCAAAGTCCATGTGGCTGTGGCTTTCTCTATGCTGTTAATATATAGTTAATTTAGACCTTGCCTTTTCTGTGTTTTTTGTCGCTTCTTCAATCCTTTAGACATTTCTTCGCCGTCTTTGCTTTTCCAATGCCTGTCAGATTTGCTTCCTTGGTGCGCCCCTCGAGGGTGCCACAGTTCTGCCCTCTTTGAGACTCAAAAAGTTTGCACCTCACAGGAGCGCATGCGCAATATACTTTGTTTGACCAAACATGCAGTTTTGAGAGTCACAAAGAGTTGCGCTTGCTGCGAAATCTGCACATCGAGATCAACAAAGCGCCACGAAATTTTCACATCGAGGCGCTGCGCCTGCCACAATATTTGGTATGAGGAAGGGGAAATTGACGCCGGGTCCCCTCAGAACCTAAAGTGTTTCAAGTGGCCAGAAAGGTCATCTGAGTGCGATCTGCCCAGAGCAGGTAGCGCTGCAGTGGTGGTGAGTCGAGAAGGCAAGAGAGGCGGTAAGCCAGGAGGAAAGTCTGGTGGGAAAGGCAAGGGTGGAGGGGCAAGATTCATGAGGTGTCGGAGGAGACAACATTGGCGGAAGAGTGGTGGCGCACGATTCCCCTGTTGAGTGTGACATGACACAGGACTGACATTCCCTCGGAAGACTGCATTAAGCTCAACTCACTGGTCAGACCTTCACGGGAAACATCTGGGGGTGGAGTTTCCACAAGACGACGCTAACGGCTCAGTTCGACACCCATGGGTCTGACCATGGACGAAATGACGGTTCCAAAGCTGTTCCCGGTTGCAGCAAACGTACGCTTCACAATTTCCGCTCTGAAGTAGAACGGCTCTACCCTCCACCTCAACGAAAACTCACGCGGAAGCAATCTTAAAAGCCTCAAAACCACATGCTTCTCTCACAGACATGGAGCCAAGAGCAAATCCTTCCCCACTGCTGTCTTCCAGAAGCTTCCAGCCGGACTTACACCGGGAGACCCCAACAACTCACGCCAAGCGAAAAGCTAAGGTGGTTAAGGTTGCTCACGCGGGCCAGACAGCCTTGCCCAAAAGTTTATGAATCTATCAAAACCTCGAAAGCGGAGCTTATCAGGGGAGCTCCATCGCAGCCAGTGGCAACAGGCTGCGGTGTCGATGGCATCATGTTCACATTGGCGTCGGATGGAATTGGCCAAGGACTGCTCCTGTCTGCCGTGGCTTGGCGCCCAACCACAAGCCACAAGTTAGAAGGTCCTGTCATCCTGGTGACCGGAGGCCACAAGTGCCCAAGACGCTGGTATCATATGCTGCCATTCACTTGCCGGCCGAGTCACTAGAGCGGATCGATCAGGGCCAGGTCCGCCGTCCCCGCATACGGAAGCAGTCAGGCTGCGTCCTGTGACCACACCGCCGGCGTATAGGCGGCTCAGAGTCGGCTCCTGTGGGTTGTGAACGTAGGATGCGAAGGTCACTTGCGGCCATAGACAATGGAACCAGCGGCCGCCAATCCAATCGATGATGGCCATAGCGCTTAGCGCTCTCGCGGAATCCTCGAGAGCCTTGCAAACCATCAGTCAAGGCATGGCGGGTACAGAAGTGTCTGGTGTTTATATAAGTCACTACAGAACCAGCCAAGCTTTCAACAAAGTGCCATCCAAACCTAAGTGTACCGCCGAAAGACCGGCTCACGGGGCAGGGTGTTGAAGGCTTTGGCGAGGTCAGGACTCAAGAACGTAACCATCATTTTCCACCAAACTCACCCAATAAGCATCCAGAAATGAAGGCTTATCCTCAATGGGTCTATATAACCTCTCCATCAGTGGCACTGAAGTTCCAGAGGTGAAGGCTTATCCTCGCCTATTCTTTAGGGCCTACCTCTCCATCAGCTATAGGCATCCAGAGGTAAAGGCTCAACGCGGTTGCTGTGAAGCTGCGGTGGGGCACGGTCACTGATGTGAACTTCAATGCACGTTTGGAATGGCCCCACACAACAGACTGATCATTAACGTTGATGTGTTCCGAGCTTTCGTTCGGTCTCGCAAGCCACGCAGTGCAGTTGGAATTGATGGACTGGGTCGCGCCGAGTGGCGCAGCTGCTTTCCATTTTCCAGACGCCTGAGCAGTCCGGATTCTGGCCCATCCAGCTTCGCCACGGAGTGGCGCACAGCCTGCAAAAGATTGTAAAGACGATCGATCGAGCCAACCCGGCTCCAGCAAATGATCGCGTTTGCGCCAACGTTTTTCCCAGGCAGTTTCGAACTCCTGGTGCAAAAAAGCCTGCAGTGAACCTACGTACTACAATCACTTGGCGCCGGATAGTGCTGGCGTCGGTCCTGTAACCCATGCCTGACCACCTTCATCACACTCAACGATGTGACAGTGGCCATTGGAGTGAGAAAGTGGAATGGATGCATCAAACGCGCGGCTAGGGACAAAGCGCAAACCAGGTCCGCAAACGGAGGTGACTCGAGGACTCAGTGCTGTTCACGAGTGTCGACATAGGTTCAGGGCCGGGAGCCCGCGAGCAAGGTGCATGGCTGTAGCTCTGGAAGGAATCTGAGGTCTGAGAAGGAAAGGGGCACACGCCCCTAGCCTCTACAATGGAGCTCGACAAATGACAGACCATAGCGACATGCGATGAACGCCAAGAAACGGAGGGTGGCGACGCGAATGTGAATCTTGATGCGCAGCCCACCAGATTCCGCGAGCCTGCGCAGTCGAAATGCATTTCGAAGATCTCGAGGTGAATGAATGGCCAGACACGGATGCAAACCCCTCGGAGTTACCCGCACTGTTTGGGGAAAAATCTGGCAAGTGCCAGAAAATTTTGACTCGGTTTTTGCACTTGCCTCACACTTCTCAGAAACGTGAAATGTATTCGACTTGTTAGTTGCTACGCTCGCCATATTTCGATGTTACAGCAATGACAAAAGTAAAGCATAATAACGACGCAGAAAGTACATGAAAGTACAAAAAGCGAACAAGCAAGTTGGACAATGCCCAAACACATATGCCAAAAGATTGAAAAGAACGAACGCACGAAAATATGTGAAACCTATTTTTTTAATAACTACGGCGAAACGCGCTCTACATGGACAGCGTAAGTTTAAACGGAAGAATGTGATGCACGACACAAATACGCACACAAAAAAAACGCAAATAGAAAAAACAAAAAATGCGAGAACAATGCGATGCGCAACCAAAATGCGAAAAAATCGACAAATGCGACGCGCCGCCACAAAAAATGCGAGGAACGTGCGATGCAAGAAGAGATTGCTTTACAGAGTGGAGGACTTAGCAGGAAGCACTAAGATTGTTTTTCGATCAACATTTCAAGGTTGGACAATTTGTTTAGAGGGGAGATGGAGTGCACCCGCGACATAAACTTGCAAAATGCTGCGTTTGCCACGAGCGCGCAATGGAACAGGTGATCATTGTTCCTGCTTTGTTGATCGCCTCGGATCCTTCACCGTCACCCATGTTTGTTCCTGTTGGTGTCCATGTTTTTGTATTGTTTTTTCAATTCTTTTTGTTGTGTTTTTTTCTTGTTTCTCTTGTCCTTGAGTTATATTTTGTAGTTGCAAAGTGTTTTTGTGTCGTTGTTTTTTCTTGTTGTGTTTGCTTTTCTTGATTCCTTCCCCGCTCTCGCACTTTGTTTTCCGACGGCAATGTTGAAAAAAATCGAAATAATTACTTGTGGAAATGGAAAGAGTGACTGATCTTCGCCATTCACATTTTCCAGGTGCCCAGCTGCAGGGTCTTAGCCAGCTGCAAGTCTTGGATGGCGAAGAACTTGGACGGCCCAAGACAGGCACTTTGGGGTGCACAGGTGGAAGACCGCCCAAGGCCGCCCGAAACCTGACATGTGTGATTTTGATGCTTCCACTTGGAGTTTTTCCAAAGGCATGTTGTCGGGTATTGCTGTATGTTTTGAAGGGTGGTTCCACCTTGGGTTTGTTGGGGCTGCAAGTCGTTGTCCCAACAGTTGAGCATTGTCACATCCGCCAGTTTCTGTGTTTTACTCTTCCAGGGGTTCTCCTGCACATTTCTGCACGTTGGATAGGCCGCGCAACGTTTGAGCTTTAGGGTTTCACATTGCCACGCGACAGCAACGAGTTTGGGGTTTTGAGGTGCCGGCAACGGAAGATCCCTTCCAAACAGATCAAACCTTTTTGGGGGGAGGTGGGGTAGATGGTAGTAAGCTCAAGTAGCCAGTAGTAGGAGGAATATACATATAATATATATATATATACATATTTTATTGTGTAAGTAGCGATCGAAAGCTACCCAGGCAGAAGAACTCAGGCTTGATTGATTTAGTTCCTGGATTTTGAAACCTCAACATACAAGCCTAAAGGACGGTGATGGGGCGAGCCGAAGGGGACGGTGTCCATCACAGGCTTTGGCCCAAACGTCGCTGCCGATGCTTTCTTGTCAAGTTTGTTGAAAGCTCTGAAAGCGCCTAACACAGACATAGACATGGCACGATTGATCGAAGTATACAGCAAACCTGTCCCTTTGGATATTGCTAATGCTACTGGATGTTGAAAACTAGGCACTTGGCAGGCCAGCCATGTCTGATTCGGATCCTGAAACCATCCCGCCCGATTCGTGTTCTGAAGACGAGGACTCGGATAGGAATTTATACCGAAATTTCGTGTTGCAGACAGAGCTCCGAGAGGCCATTGAAAGAATCCAGGCCTCGGAGGTGCAGGGACAGGATTCAGATCACTTCGAGGATCCAGATCCAGACGATGAGCTACGAATAAGAGCTGGACTCTCCTACTTCAGCGAACATGGAGCTGGGCTTCCACCCAAGAATGTGCATGCCGTGCGACGGCACTTGTTTTGGGAAAGGCACAAGATTCGCAATCCTGCTGAGAAGGGAGATCTTTGGAAACACGATGACGACACCTCGCTATTGGACGTGGTGAGAGCTCAAATTATGGAAGAGCTTTTTCGGAAGGTGTACCACAGCAAGGTGCAGGGTTTGAAAGAGGGGTGTTCAAACCGGTTTAAGTCAGTTTGACTCCATTTCAATGTGCAAACCCAATATGCCAACATAATGTTGAGCGCCCAAACCCGAAAGGTGCAGAGTGTGCCACCATTGGACCGTCCTCAGTTCTTCATGGATACGCAAAAAGAGATCTCTGAGATGTCTTCAGAGGACTTGTGGAAAAACCTGGGCTATTCTGCGGACTGGCATCGCATTTCGAAAAGGATGATGGTCAGAGGATACCCCCACTCTGCAAAGGAATGTTACCTCCGTTATCTTCACAAGCTACACCCTTTATTGAAGAAGGGTCGCTTTACCAAGGCGGAGGACCGGGTCGGAAACGTCTCCAAAGTCGCGAAGCCAAGTGGTGACCCTTGGACTGTTTGCTTTGAAGATCCCCAAGCAGCCAGAACATAAGTTTCGATCCCTAGAATCCCAAATTGAGATCAGATCCGAACCCCCCCTTTCATTTTGTAGATCAGATCCGAAAGAATGTTTCTGTGCGGCCTCTTGTGCCGCAGGATGTGGCCTTGTTGCAGCTTTCCTCTCGCTATGAAGGCTTCGATTGGGATCAAATCTCCCAGCACATGCCGACGGGTCGCACCGCCTGGAGATGTTTTGAAAGGTACCAGAAAAGCCTGAACAATGGAATTGTCAAAGAAGGCTGGCAACAACATGAGCTGGATCACTTGCGTAAAACCGCTTTGGAATTGGGTTTCTTGCCTACTTAGAAGCATGTTGAATGATCAAAAACTAGTGAACGGTGTCGACACCATCTACTTAAGAAGTTAAATAGTCAGGACATGCAAAAGAACATCCAACACGAAATGTAAAACTGTACAATGGAAAGATCCCGTTTAAAATCGATACCGCTCTAATCCGCTCAATGTTTTTTGTCCATTCAATATTTTTATGCAGCAGCTCTATTGTGTATATATATACTGTATACAGTACTTCCTTTTGTTTCGGTTGTTGCCATGAGGATGATAATTCCAGTGACCCATTTTTTTGGACATGGTGTTCTCTACATGAGAAGTTGAAACCCTTCCCGGATAAGCAGAGACACTTTGTGATACACTAATTGCTGCAAAGTTGATTGTAAAGAATGCCATGCAGGTTTTATACTTCCTTTCTAGCCAGGTCCATACTATGTAGTGCTACTGTGCTGCTGATACTTCCTTTCCTTCACCCTAGAGGGGGTTCCACCAATTCCCCTGTGATGCAATTGCAACCGACACCCTTTTACTGTACGTAGAGAGTAGAGATTGGATGAATGCAAATTGCTCGCCCACTTCTCCTGCTGCTGCTACCATTCCGACTCCTACTGCTACTTCTACTGCTGCTCCTACTGCCAGCAGGACACGGAAACTACAATGTTCACACATTATCATGTTGTCATGCCCTTGCGGTGACCGTGAGCTATGCAACCTCGAAGGGTCCCACTCACAGACAACTGCGTGCAGCCATCTTTGAATGAATCAGAAAGAACTCGCAGACTTTTGAGACATGGGATCATCACATGCCCAACGATCGAACAACAATAGAGAAGTACCTTGATGACAAAGTCGGCACGTGGGGTGGTTTCCTGGATATTTGCGCATTCGCCAATGCAGAGACCATCGACGCCGATACAAGGAAGGCTTTGAAGTTCCACGGAGATGATTTGTTTTCGGTCTTGAAACTCTTTGCAGAGCACTATGAATGGGTCAAATGCGACAGCAGAGCTATCGCGGACCTTTGGCTTCGGGCCAACACCGATGCCACTCTCTTTAAATTTGTGATAAGCGCGGCTTAAGTCTGAGCCGGGTGGGCTTGCGTCGGCAAAACGAGCTCAGCACATTCGACACCAACATTCAAATGTGGCAGCCACCGTCCCTCGTGAACGCCAACTGCTGCTGCTGCTGCTACTACTACTACTACAACACCTACTTGTTTGCCCAAGGTTACTTCCCAGACATGGTGGGCAAAAAATCCAATTTGACGGTGGCCAGCCGCCTTGGTCCTGGCAAGAGTTGTAGCCAATGTGGAGGTCTTTTGCTGCGGTCGCACCAGGCCTTCCAGGCACTCACTTCTGGTCGACTTCACGTCGTGCAATTGGGGTTGTTTGCAATGTTCATCAGGAGATGGACCCCAGAACGGTGGGGTCCTCACGTGGTAGAACTTGCGGGACAGGTGCTTTGATGTTATTTTTTGTTATGTCCCAAGCTTGTTGGAACAACAGGGCCAGAATTTGGGGTGTTTAGTTTCATTTAGGTCTGAAACATGGAGCCCCTCAAAGTCACAGGAAATGGACAATAATTGTTCCCACTGGTTGGGAGTCTCCGCGCCCATTTGCAAAACATAAACCGCCAGAAGGTTGAGTGCCTTGCTGTGTGGACGGCCAAAGAAGATCGAACTCTGGATTTGGCGATGCAGTCGCGTGGCTGTAGACATGGGGGCAGGCCATGTAGCCGTGGGAGCCCTCACATGGCTCGATGAGAAAGGAATTGAAACACCAACTCCTGTTGGTCAATTTGTTTGTTCTGGAACTAAATCACCGGCTTGTAGCTTCTTCAGTTCACATGCCCGGATCAGACTGGGACCCCTTCCAGAGATGAAGCATAGATCACAGCTGTGGCCTATTGTCCATTTTTGGAGCTTCTGGAAAACTGAGGATGTATGGCAAAGATTGCAATGACTGGAAACTGCTTTGTCGGAGCCATTTTCCGGGAAGAGACTTGGAAGAAGTCCTGAAACGCTGGTTCCTGAAGCAAAGCAATTTCGAGCAATGGACGATTAATGAAGATGAAGCGCTTCAGAGGGCCATCGAACGGTGGGGCACTGGAAACTGGGCCTTGATGCGGAAGGATCTTCCAAAACGCTCCTCTGGCACCATCCTGCAGCGCTTCCGCCAGCTCTGCCCCGAGAAGGGGTTCTTGCACCTAGTCACAAGTCAATGGGAAGGGAGAATAGAGGCAGGACAGCAGCTCCCTCCTCATGAATATCCTGTTTGTGCATGCAGTGCAAGTTTGTGGAAGTCCATCGTGCTCATACTACTACTACTACTATCATCTTACTTCCTTCCTTCCTTCCTTCCTTCCTTCCTTCCTTCCTTCCTTCCTT